ATTAAAATCAAGGTAGTTTTATAATTAAACAAGCAATTTGGCCGCTCTATATATATTATTAAAGCAAGCAATTTGGCCGCTCTATGTATATTAAATTTGGCCGCCCTATGTATATTAAATTTGGCCACCCTATATATATTAAATTTGGCCACCCTATATATACTAAATTTGGCTACCCTATATATACTAAATTTGACTACCCTACTAAAACTTGGCCACCTTTGTGTATACGGTTAAAATATATAATTTGGCCACCTTTGTATGTATGAGTATGCTATTAAAACAAGAAATTTGCCGCCTATAATGATAAGCAACATTAAACTAGCAAATTTTGATACTAAACCAATACAATTATGTGAAAAGTTATTCGAATTATCAATTTTGCATTAAAGGTGTGATTGAAGGTATCTGATTAGTGAAACATTAGTCCAATATTTAAATCAAATCATTCACGGTTCAGGTCGATATCATTATTGAACTTTAATAAGATTTGTAAAACCTAGCACCGCAGACTTATGTATAATTAATAATTTGAGCTTCAAATACGTATCATTTATTGTTTAAAATTACGTATGTACGTATGTATATACACTTAAAAAGCTCAGAAAAAAAGGGATAAGCTATATGTACGTAGTGTTTCAGGCGAAATCTAAAAAAAGAAATTATAACAATATATTTGATTACTTTTTTTAGGTTTCGCCCAAAACACAACCAGGGTAAGTAATTTATGAATAATAAATTTGTTATGCAAAAGAAACATCAACTAATTAACTTCAATTGAACTTAAAGCAAATTCAGGAATTCGATAATGTGAGCGGTATTTTTTAACAGCAAATTCTGCCGCTTTACCTTTTAAACCTTTTTGATATGCATCCATATAGCGAAAGGCTTTTCTTGCATATCGGCAAATAGTTGGGAGTGGGACAGAGTCGAAAGCTAATAGAACGGTTTTTTGTAATCCTTTCCATGAGTAATTACAATTTGCCTGGCTGTATTTTTTGGCAGCATCCTAGAAGTTCTCAATGTAATTGAGCTCACAATGAAATTTGGAGTAAAACACAATTTGATGCCCAGCCGCAATAATGGTTTCCTCCAACTGCCCTTTTTGTATCAGAAAATCTGGCTGTTGACCCATTAATTCTTATACTTCTTGTAATTTTAATCCTTTTTCTGGCCACAATCCTCTCTCACTTAAAACTTGGTTTAATCCTAGCCTCTCTACGTAATTCAGGAATGTGATAATTCAACGGAAATACCATATCCTGATCATTTTTTATTCCTCTACGAAAATACGATATACTGTGCATTTTTTCTTGTTTTCTAGCAGAACTAAGGTTCATATTCTTTGCAACAAGTGCATTAGATGTATAAGTAGTATGACTTTTTGTATTGTCAAATGCAAATAATGCTTGATATCCCAGGAAACAGGCTTCAAATATAGAAATAGCATGGTTGGATACTTGTTCAATCAAATCTTCGGATTTCCACCATCTATCATTGTTTTTGCTAGGGCATATAATACCACAAGCTTCTCTAGAAAGCGTATCTGATGGTTGCATTTCTTCAGGAAGCAAAAGTCGGCCACAAACATTTGTAAGAAATTCACTGATATGAATTAAACGTCTCTCACCTTTTTTTCTTAAAGGTTGTTCCCTTCAGGAATCCAGAGACTTCGACTTCCATCATAAGCTGAAAAGATGCATTCATCATGTGTAACAAGAATAAGCGGCTATACACTACTATCTGGCCAGGTTTCCACTTCTATATCCTCATCTGAAAATACAGACATTCTATGTTCAAGCTCATTTATTCATTCTAAAAATATTTTTCGATAGGCCACTACGTCTTTTCTTTCATGTCTATCGATATAAATACCCTTTTTTACTCTTTCATATATATAACCAAGCTCTTTCAGATAATTTTTTGCAGTATTAAGAGAAATGGTTGGTGGTGGTGCAAATCCGAGCCCTGTAAAATAACTTCATTCATCTGTAGCATAACCATATGTGGAGTAATATTCCACTTATTTTCTCGAACATATGACTTGATTTAAAGAAGAATATCTTCATCCCAAAGAAAGCTTCACATTTTAGCATGATGTCCTCAGCACGAATAAGGAATTTGATGGGTCATAATATACTCATGTGACCAAAAACAAATATACCTAGCATGGTATACCCCTTTCCCTGCCACATCTGCAACTATCTTACTTGCTTTCATTTTCCAATGATTGTGTTTTATAAGTTGAAGATAAAAGCGAATACTATTAAGACGCACCCAAACTTCACTATTTACGTTCTTATTTTTGATATCTAGTGTTATGTTTTCAAATGCGGTTTGAATTTTTTTATACCAATTAGAGGTTTCAATCTTATCTTCTGATAGCTCTCCAGTATCATCTTTATCGACTTCATTCAGCCATCCATCATCAGACAATTCTACCTCAATATCTTCTTCAGCAGTCTTGTCTTGATTCCAAAAGGTAAACAATG